GAAGAAGAAGAAGAAGAAGAAGAAGAAGAAGAAGAAGAAGAAGAAGAAGAAGAAGATTTTGTATAGACTACTCTACCATTAATTTACTGTCTTGTTAAAGGAAATACTATAAGAACGAGTTACAGAGCCATCAAGAAAGTGTAGTATTGGTGCAAATGGCAAGTGCTTTTCAAAATAGGTAATGAGAAATGCATTAGTTTTGCCTAAATATAGTACACTCAGAAGTTAGTAGTCGCTCTTGCTCTCGCTCTCACTCTTGCTCTCACTCTCACTCTTGCTCTCCGCTATTAAGTGAACATTTGTGCTAAGAGCTTTAGATTATCATAACTTCCTATCACTCATTTGATACAAAGAACAGTTAGGTACTTCAATGACTCCAGCAGCAGCATATGCATAAGAAATGAAGAAAGCCCTGATATTGCCAATAGCTGAATACCCAAAGGATGTTTTCTAATGTGAATATTATACACACCACTGTCTCATACCATTTGTCACTTTCCAGTCCTGGCCAAAAGAATAATTTTTAATGTCTTCCAAATAGATTATGCTGACCTCCACCCAGTTTCTCCTGGGAAACATAAACTTCTTACATGTCACCGGCTAGGTCATTATAAATCACATCTACATTGCCCCAAAGCTCTGAATTTTCCCTGTCTGGAACACAGACTGTAACTGGACCATATCTGTAGTGTAGTTACTTTTCTGGAAAATATTCAAAGGTACAAAATGAACCTTGCAACACAAAATTGACTTTGATTTAACTTTTGCCAATTTCCCTGGATGTCTAAGCAGAATTAAATTTTCACTGAATGTGCAAAAGTTCTAGACACAAGTGTTATTTAATCTCCTTCCATAAACACCAGCCTGAGCGATTCTATCTACAATTAACTGCTGGTGGTTGGTACAAGATCGTTCCCCCTAGATTATTTCATAACCTTGTTTCACAGTACGTCGTACTCCACAGAGTGGGGCTGCGAGGAAGGACCCTAGAGCGCTTCACTACTCCCTAACCCTTGCCGAACCGAGCTCGTCCTCTTCTGATACGAGGACATCTTTCACAACAAGGCGGGCACAGCCTCGGGCAGCGCACAGTCCCTGCAGCCGGGATGCACCGCATCCCCAGGGGCAGGGGAGAGGATCTCAGGCGTCAGCTTGTGCTGGGGCCAGTGCCCCAGGCTGAACTGAGAGTTCCGCGCCCCGGATCTCGGGACTGGGGCGAAGGGGTGGCAGGAGGAAGCAGCTTGTTTTGCTGGGAGATGTGGAAAGTAGGCGCTAGCCTGTTTCGCGGTTTTTTAAGCCCCTTGGCGTGCCCTGACCTGACCAACAGGGAGTCAACCGCTCTCAGGAATGTTCTGGGAGAAGGTGGGAGACTACTTCCCCCGGGAGGCCTGTGGGTGCTGAGGGCACCAGGAGGGTCACGCAGGGAGACTCAGGGTGCGCAGGAGGGGTGCGGGACGCCGGGTGAGCCGGAGCGGGGAGGGGTATCATTTGGGGTGGCGTGGGGGCTTTCACCGGCGGGAGCGGGGCGGGGAGGGGAGGGCCCGGAGGGCGGGCTGGGGCGTGGCGGGGGGCGTGGGGACCCCTCCCCGGGCGGCGGCGACCCGGCCTGGCGGGCTGCACCCCCGGCTGTCAAGGGCGGGGGGCGGATGGAGGAAGGGGTGGAGGTGGAGCGGAGGAGGGCTGGCACCCGAGCGCCGCGGAGTCGGTGCAATAAAATGCATCCCGGGGCGCTGCCCAAGGGGAAGGAGCGGACCGCGGCGCTGCGGCCGGAGGAGGAGGCGGCGCGCGCGGAGGAGGAGGAGGACGCCCCGGAGGCGGCGGCGGCCGTTCAGTGAAAGGTCTCACCCAGGCCGGCGGCGGCGGCGGAGGGCGCAGGAGCCCCAGGGCCGCTCGGCGGGGAGCGCGGCAGACCGGCTATGGTCCCTGGGCTCCCGCCGCCCCCGAGGTGCCCCAGCTCCGCCAGGAGGGCGCGCGATCGTCACCCCTCAGCCCTGCGCGGCCCCGGCGCCCAGTGACCGCTGATTGGAGCCCGGCCGGCCAGGCGCCTCCGACCATGGGGGGCTGCGCACGGATCCTGCTGCTCTGGGGCTGCTCGGCGGTGGCTGCAGGTGGGTGGGGACGCGCGGACTCCCCCAGCCGCTCTCGGCCGGCTCCGGGAGCGGGTGCAGGGAGGCAGAGAGGGGTCCGGGCCATGGAGCGAGGGGCCATGTTCCCCTCGCTCCCCCGGGCTGCGCACTTTTAATCCTATGGGTTTCTAACACAGCTGAGATGCACTTGCCCTCGGCTAACCCGACATCCCCGGGGCATCCGCCGGGGACGCGGCCAGGGCTTCTACCTCGCCGAGGCTTGTTGCAAAACTGCCTTTCCCTTTGGTGAGGGAACAAAGGACCCGGATCGCCGTCCCCGGCATTTCATGGCCTGAGGGGCGACAGAAAGGGATGGCCGGCGACCCCAGGCGTGCGTGGGCCGGTGCGGCGGCTCCCGGAGGGCGATCGCCAAGCTCGCCGACCTCCCCGCCCCGCGCGGGCACCGGGGCGCCAGGTAGGGCCACCTGGGGGGAGCGAGCCTTCCCGGGCAGTGGCCGGAACGCAGCGGGGCTTGGGGCCCAGCGGCAGGCGGTGGCCACCGCCTTGCGCCGAGCTGGCTGGCCGCCCGGGGGATGGTACCCTGGCCGGGCTCTGCGGGAGGTCGGAGGCGGGTCCGCGCCGGATCCTGGTAACTGGACCAGCAGCGGAGGCGTTGTCTGATGCCGACTCCCCGCTCTCCCGCCCTGGCTTTTTGGACTGCCCGGGGCCACCGGTTTCCAGAACGCTGTTGCTAAATTCAGGAGCCCTCTGCCCCTCGCTCTCCCCGGTGCGAGTCACCTGGTTTCCAGTTAGTAATAAGGGCAGCTGCGTGGGCAAAGGGGAAAGAAAGCGAGGGCACCGCGCCGCTCAGACGACCTCGACTCCTCTGAAAGGGGCGAGTGCGTAGAGGTCGGCTGGCGTCTCCCCCTTCGGTTTCTTCCGCTCTCCCTCAGGAAGATCCAGGCATCAGTCTGCATCCCAAAGCATCCGACTTGGAAGAGCATCTTTGCTATGCTTGGACAAACACTTCTTTAGGGCCAAGTACTTTGCTCACTGGTTATTATTAGCAAACAATGTCCAGGCTTACACGTTCAGGAGTAGTTTCTAACGTCTCAGTATTTCGCCCAAGATCTGTGAAGAGTCTGAGAGTATGCTTTAATTCTCCCTACTTATATATCTTTAGTGCATTAATGCATGAGCCTCCAGTAGGAAAATGAACTTTAATAAACTTTCCCCTTTTCAAACCATTTTATGGTTAAAAAAATAAGGCAATCAGGAGTCTGTAAATAAATATTACAAGGCAAGTGTTTCAAGTCAAAAATACTTGTACAGGCAGTATATGATTTTCCCTGAAATGCTTTACAGGTGAGTCATAGCACACTGTGTGTGTTTGTGTGATTCTGGCTACAAGCAAATGTTGCCCCAGTAATCAGAACAATGGCAAATAGAATCCAGCACACTTTCCCTGACGTGTAAGAAATAATGCCCAAGGAAGGCCTGTGCTTTGATTGCACAACGGTGTCAGTCAATGTGAAGCGCCAAACTTGTCATCTGTCTTCCTGCAAACCACAGCGGTAGCAGCTCAGATCTGCTCCCCCTGCACAGAGCAAAATTAAGCAGCAACATTCAATTAGCCCCATTCATTTGGGGGTTTGGTTTCCTTTTCTCCTGTTTTGGCTTTTAAAAATAGGTGGTTTTGCTCAAGATATTCCTAATGTAAATGACAAGTCCTACTTAAAGGATTATTAGAGGTAGTCAGAAAGCTAACACCTGGACAATGTTTATCATCTTAAGCGATTCTGAAACATTAGGCCCCTTGAACCTCAGTTAGGGAGCAAGAATGTATTTCTTCAAGAAGGTGTTTTGGGCCCAGCCATATAGTTCAGTGGACTAAAGCGCTCACTTAGGCAGGCTCAGGGACATGGTCCTATCCCTAGCTTGCTGTCCAGGCCCTACCCTCAGGCCATCACTGAGATGGCTACTGAGACTGGGCGTGGTGTCACATGCCCCTAATCCCAGCGCCTGGGAGGCTAAAAACAGGAAAATCACTATGAGTCCGATCTGTGTAGTGAGACCGTGTAGATCCTGTACTAAATACATTTAAAAAAAAAAAAAAAAAAAGATGTTTTGGTTCACAGATAGTGGCTAAAGGCAGTGTTAAACAACAGCTGCCAGGCTATAAGCATCCTCCTGTTAAGCAAACAGGTAAGAACTGTACAGCCTGTCCTGGGCAGACACCGCAAGAGGCAGGGAGCACGTGAAATAAGCTTTCCATCCTGTAGTAGTTCACAGGTGGATTCTTCTTAGTACATTTACTTAATATTACAAGTGAATATTGCAAGTTAGCTTTGCCTCCCTAAAGCAGGTCCTACTGTATATTTACTAAATATCTCATACAACTTTTCCTAAAGACCTCGTCTCTTCACTGCCTTAAAAACATAAAGATAATAGAATTCTACATGTCCTACTGAACACATTCTTATCATAAACATGTTAGATGACCAAATATAAAGGTTCCACTTGTGTTTGAAGAATTAAATTAGGTATTTTTAAGCATTGTTGATGAACTTCAAAACCATTTCAAAAATAGCATATATAAAGCAAAATACTTAAAAATATTATGCCAACATTCTCCACCTCACTATGTGTATCTCCTCTCCCTCACCCTTTACCTGGGATGATTTCTTGTCTTCTTATGCGGATTTTACATCCAAACAGAAGAAATAAAATACAGACTCTCAGTATTCACAAATGCACCATGAATGCAGAACAGTGTTCACGGTGAAGCATGCTAAAATGGCCCTGTTATGGAAAGTCGGAAGCTCTTCGCAGATACTTTGCCTGGTGCAGGTGAACCAGGTGGACAGAAGAGCTTCCTCGCCCCATGGAGTTGGCCGTGAGGGATGACATTTGTTTTCCCCTCTCTAGGACTGAGCGGAGTAGCTGGAGCGAGTTCACGCTGTGAAAAAGCCTGCAACCCTCGCATGGGAAATTTGGCCCTAGGGAGAAAACTCTCGGCAGACAGCACCTGCGGTCAGAACGGCACTGAACTCTACTGCTTCTACAGCGAGAATGCCGACCGCACTTGCCGGCAGCCCAAGTGCGACAAGTGCAATGCTGCCCACCCTCACCTGGCTCACCTGCCATCTGCCATGGCAGACTCATCCTTCAGGTTTCCCCGCACATGGTGGCAGTCTGCAGAGGATGTGCACAGAGAAAAGATCCAGCTAGACCTGGAAGCTGAATTCTACTTCACTCACCTAATTATGGTGTTCAAGTCTCCCAGGCCAGCAGCCATGGTGCTGGACCGGTCCCAGGACTTTGGAAAGACCTGGAAGCCTTACAAGTACTTCGCAACTAACTGCTCAGCTGCCTTTGGCCTAGAAGATGATGTGGTCAAGAAGGGAGCTCCCTGCACCTCGAGATACTCCAGCCCTTTCCCATGCTCTGGAGGCGAGGTAAGAACATCTGCTTCACTCTGCACTGTAAGGAAAGTGAGGCAGAAAAATGTTACCAGCCCACATTTTTTTTTAAAGCATGAAGCTATACTTGTAGCAACATGAAGGAAATTAGAATTTTTCATGAGCTTTATTTGTCGTAAATTATTCCTCACCCTTAGCCATGGACGTGTAGTCATTTTCAAGCAGATTGCCCACTGGCTGGGATTAAGTCAGAATTCTAGGATTCTAAGATTTTTTTTTTTTTTTTCACTTTGAGAAAGACGAGACATGCATCATCCTTCAGCTTTGGAGAGTCCAAAGCCTACTGGATTTTTCTGTTAACAGCACTATTCATTGTGTCTATGAGCGTGAAGTTACTGAGACAGCGTGTTTCTAGAACCCATGCTAGTATCTTCCTGATACCGTTGACAGAAATAGGAAGTAAATAAAAACAAAGCCAACAGACAAAAAAAAAAAAAAAGTTTGTCAGAAGAATACTTTTGTGTGACACTAGAGTTTTACCATTAAAATTCCAGAAGTGCTTAACAAATGAAGGTAAGTTCTTTTCTTTAAAGACAAAAAGATTCCTTTGGGGGTCACAGGTACATGAGTTCCAGCTTAGGAACGTGGTTCCATCCTGTGTCTAAGACCAACTCAAACTCAATCTGCAAAACAGCCTCCTTGGCTATTGGTGCATTTTCTATATGGAATGTTTTCTCTTTGTTTAATGTTTTCTTTCCCCCTTATGGGAAACAAGTCTTTTTAACTTGGGAAGTGGTACCTACAAAGGTCCTCCCAGATATATGAGAAATCATGATTAAAAGCAGATTAAAGAGACTGCAATACCTACAATAGGTGGATCAGGAAATGTCAATTCAGACCAAAAAATCCGGACAGTATTATCTTTCTGATTCTAGGGCAGATCATGAATGTGTAGATGACGTGGTTCCTAACAAAGGGTGGTGTCACATCCTTCTACCATGAGACACTGAGACATTTGGCAAGGTCTGGAGACATTTCGGAATAGAGAAAGACACCCTTGGCTAGGGAGAAGCCTGGGATGCTGGTAAGCCTCAGACTATGCACAAGACAGCACTTCCTCCCCTAGCCCCGATAAAGCATTATCTGCTCAAAATGTCAATGGTACTGAGGTTGAGAGAATGGGGATACATGGAGCACACAATAGGATGTTGACAGACACAAAGACGCACCCCGCTGACAGTCGTTTATGCATTTAATAAGCAGCTGTAGGGTCCCTGCTGTGTGCACTGCCCTCAGTACTACTGGGTCTCTCTGCGGGTTGGTGGGGACAGTGCTCACCCAAGGATCTGAGGAGCAGATTGGCCTGGAAGCTTCTTCCCACTCCACTGCCTCATAGGGATTTGGCCACAAGTCAGCTGCATGGTCTCTGCACCCCGAAGAGACCACTGGAAACAGTGCTGCTGGCACCCTGGTCCCTAAAGTCTGCTTAAAATCACAAGCTTATTTGTCCTCTGTTGTGATGGACATTTTTAAAGATACCAGGATGGGAAAGAGACAGGCAAGGTAGTGTCATTGCTTTCCTATGTGTACAACATGGTGCTGACGTGCACATGTGGCTCGAACTCACACAGGGCTTGGGAATTGATTCGCGGAGTCCTGTCTGCTCCCTACATCTCGTCGCTACCGGTCCTGTGCAGTGACGAGGCAGTGTTTCAGTAAGCAGATGGCAGCTATGTCCGCTTAGCAAGAATCACATTGAATTTATTACAGCAGTCGAGAAATTAATTAGCAACAATGAAGTAACACTTATCTAACCTACAGTGAAAGCAAAAATCTGTCTTTGAACTACTTGCTGTCATCAGTGCTTACATCAAATTCCAAGCAAACAGAAACTGAACTTCACATCACATCAAGCACAACTCAGTTCCCCCTAGAGCATTATTATAGAATGTCCTTCCTTCAGAAGACAGACAGGTTTGGGAACTCTTCTTCCACCTCTGAATCAGAGTGTGGAATCACACCTTGCCCATGCCAGGCACTTAAGTGCTTTACGCACTGAGCTACACCACTCACCCCGAAGAGCACTTTTTAAACCAAAACAGAACCTGCTACCCAGACTTCCTAAAGTGACCACCAGCTTCAAAGACCAAGGCATGCATGGTTGTACCTTAAACAGGGTCTCAGAGCAAAGGTGATTTATCCAACAACATATGGTGAGCTCTGTGACAATGCAAGGACTAAGCCCCTGGGATTTGGACTCGGAGTCCAGTATTTGTTCCACGAAACTCAGTTCTCCCTCCTTGATGGGTCCCCTAGAACTGCTGTCAGGGAGCTCTGTGCCTGCCTTCCTCCTGCCTCGCCCTTCCAAAGCCATTTGCTACAGCTTATTTAGGTACAGGTTGAAGATGAGAACGTATCTGCTAAGCAGGCTTCTTCTGAGACACTGTCTTCTTAGATATCTGTCACCAGTCACCCCTGATTAAAGAGTGCAGTTGTCGGTTAGGCTGGAAACACTGGCTGGTGTCTTCGTCTGTTTTCTGTTGCTGTAGCACAAAACCAGAGCCTGAGTGACTTATAAGGAACTTTGCTTGGCTCATGGTTCTGGAGGCTGGGAAGCCCAAGAGCGTGGAGCCGGGATCTGCTCCGCGTACGGTGAGGACCACGCTGCTGTGTCCTCCAGAAGCAAGCATGCCACCTGAGCAACAGCACGACCCCACCGCTTGGGCTCTTTTCCATGATCTGTACAGTATTAACGCCCCCTTCATCTTCCCAAAGCCGTCACCCCCACACAGATCCATTCGGGGATGTTCACGGCACCTGAGTTTTTAGTTTTTGTTTTGTTTTGATCTTTTGTTTGTTTGAGGCAAGGGCTCACTATTAGCTCAAGCTGGCCTGGAACTCATGGCGATCCTCCTGCCTCAGCTTCCCAAGTGCTGAGATCACAGGCGTGCGTCATCCTAACCAGCCAACACATGAACTATTAGAGGACACATTCGAACTGTAGCAACCAGATTTAACAAAGTTGGAAGTTTATAAACATACACATGGACTTGTTACTCACCATGTACCCCAAGGGGGAGAAATAAGCAGTGTTGTTGTCCAACTTACTGGACCATGGCCAACTCCCAGGTGCCCTCTTTCGGACCCTACAGATCCACAGAGCACAGCCAGCAAGTTCTCCCAAAGCCCTGGCCCAAGGCACAGAAAGGCCTGGCACTCTGCAGGGGTTGATTTCAAGATCCTCTGTGGGTTGGAGGCTTAGTAGTCTATTTTGGAGGGGAAGTGTAGATAATAATAACCTTGAAGCTAAAGGTGATGGATTAATTGCACTCTCTGTGGACGCAAAGATACACCCTCAGCTCACCTCCAAGAACAGAAAGCGCAGCCAGCAGGGCAGACACAGCAAGCTGCTGTAGACCCCACACAGTCCGGCCTCGTGGACCACTCAGGAAGCAACATCTGCTCAGTGACCCAAAGCTCGTGTCCGGTGATGCGGACAGTGTCTCCGGGGAAGGGAGAACCACTGGCTCTGCATGTTGGCTAGCAACCAACCAAACCGCAGAGTTCTTTTCCAGGGCATGATATCTACAGCATTCCAAGCAAGGGCTGTCAAGTCAGGGACAGAGGTTAGGAAAGCCAAAAAACCAGGGATTGGCTGGGTCCCTGAGCAACTCTTGAAGAGATGGGATTGTTCAAAAGGGTAAGGTTGTGTCTGGTGATTACTGCTGTATCCCCAGGCTTTACCATGTTATTTGGCTCAAATGGGCTGTCAATAAATCTATAACTGAATGGATGGATGGAGGGAGGGATGGAGGGATGATGTTATAAACAGGGATTGAGTAGGAGAAGATCCTTAAATGGCAGAGGGAGAAATGAATAAGACTTAGGCAGCAGATGAGACTCCGAAATTCCAGTTAACATGGGAATGCTGAGTTAGCAGTCAGGATAAGTGATGATGTGGGGTAACTAGCAAACAATCTTAAAGAATGTTTATTTACCCATTCATTCAAATAATTTTTGAGCCATTATGTATCAGATCCCATCCCAGGTACCAAGGATATAACCACGAACCAAGCATATTAGAAATCTCTGTTCTCGGGCAGGGGGCAGAAAATACCAGTATGAGGCTGTTATTAAAGTGGATTGAAGGATTTGTTTGATAGCATGGGCCACAAGCACTTTGAGTACATAGCAAATTTTCATGAGTGAACAATATTGACTATTAAGGGTTACGTTTCCTGCAAAGTGTAGCCATGGAAAGATGAATTGGATATTAATAACATACATCAAGAAAAAATCAGTTCTAATGCCAGGCTTGGTAGCACATGTCTGTAATCCCAGCACTTGGAAGGCTGAGGCAGGAGTTTTTGGGTTTTTTTAAATTATTTATTTATTTATTTATTTTTACATTTATTGTGTGTGTGTGTGTGTGTGTGTGTGTGTGTGTGTGTGTGTGTGTGGCCAGCTCAGCCCACCAGGGGGCGGGGTGGGCTGGCATGTGGTGCTGGGGAATGAACCGTGGTCCCTGTGCTTTGCCAAGCTTGTTCTATGAGGCAGGAGTTTTATTGCAAGTTCAAGACCACCCTGGGCTACAAAGTGAGCTCAAGGCTAGCCTGAGCTGCATAGCGAGATCTTGTCTTAAAGAGATTAAAAAAATTAAAAAAAAAAAAAAAAAAAAGTCAGTTTTATAGTGTTTACTAGTCGATCCAAATCTGTTTTGCTAGTGTTTCTCAGAATCAGAGCACTTGAAAAGGAATCTAAATGTCACCAAAGCAAAAGAATATTACTCCTGAGTACTCCGAAGTCTAAGGAAAGTAAGGGGCCTGTCTACAGTTGCTCAGCTAAAATCTGTACTGCTTAACTTCTAGTCCAGAGCTACTTCATTATACACATTAAGCTGAAATTCTTTGTGCTGAGCATAAAAGATATAAAAGCTATATATGTTCCCTTCTTTCAAAATCCTTGCAACCAACTGAGTGAGAGTAGCTTCGGTTATTACCTGGTGATAAATCAGCATGGTGCCAGCATGCAGGAAA